AGTCATAGAGTCATAGAGTCATAGAGTCATAGAGTCATAGAGTCGTAGAGTCGTAGAATCATAGAATCATAGGCATAGAATCATAGTCACAGAATGATAGAATCATAGGCATAGAGTCATAGAATTGTAGAGTCATAGAGCCATAGAATCATAGATTCATAGAATCATAGTCATAGATTCATAGAATCATAGTCACAAATCATAGAATCATAGTCATAGAGCCGTAGAATTGTAGTCATAGAATCATAGAATCAATAGAATCATAGTCATAGAGCCATAGATTCACAGAATCATAGAGTCATAGAATCATAGTCATAGTCATAGAGTCATAGAATCATAGGGTCACAGAGTCATAGAGTCATAGAGAGTAGTATAGAGTCATAGAACCACAGTCATAGTCATAGAGTGATAGAATCACAGACTCAATAGAATCGTAGAATCATAGAGTCATAGAGTCATAGAGTCATAGGATGTTCATGGATGTGCTCTGCTAGTCTTCTGCCTGTCCGTCCTACATACTGGCTGTTACACTCCCTGCACTGTTTTCTGGCTGGCTCAAATTGCAACCTGATGAATGTTCCGTCGGTAGACCGGTAGCGCTGTCTTTCACTCAGAGCTCATCGGATTGCCTGCAAGAAGAGCGTGGCTTTGCAGCATCTCACAGGCTTTCATGCCCTGTCTTTTTCCATCCTACCCTCCCTGACCCTCCCTCCTTCTGATCACAGGGGAGAGCTTGAGTCCAACCCGCTCCTCCACCAAACGGAAGAAGAAACAGCGGAGGAACCGAACCACGTTCAACAGCAATCAGCTGCAAGCTCTAGAGCGAGTCTTCGAGAGGACACACTATCCTGATGCCTTTGTCCGGGAGGAGCTGGCCCGAAGGGTGAGCCTCAGTGAAGCCAGAGTCCAGGTGAGAGTCCATGGGGATTCGTGTGCTATGTCTGCAAATCACTTCTTGGCCAGAAAATGACACTGATATGGCTAAAGTCACTGGGAACCCTTCCAGGGCAGTCCCACGCCAGTGCTTGAAAAGCTAAGGAGGCTCAGATGTGACCAAAACTCAAAGGGGGGACTGCTAGGGAATTCCAGGACTGTGGACCAGATGGGGATTGTTTTTTAAAAAATGAAATAATTCTCAAACAAGTCAATAAATATTTTCAAAATAAATATATCACTCTTCCACGCTCCTGCCAAGAAAACAACGTGGAGTCATGAGCTCAACCAGAGTAGGGTTTTTTCAAATGAATTGCCTTTCATTTATTACATAATACTACATTTATCATTATTATTCATTGATTACTTTTATTTATTATATATCCCACCTTTATCTTGCCCAACTCAAGGCAGCATACGCAATGCTCCTCTCCTATTTTCCATGCAACAACAACCCTGGGAGGTGGCTTGGGCTGAGAAAAATGATTGGCCCAAAGTCACCCACCCCACTTTCAGGCTTAAGAGAGGACTAGAATTCACAACTGCCAAGTTTCTAGTCCAGCACCTTCACTACTCCATCAAACTGGCTCCCAGTTAGAAATGCAAAGGGACAACCCTGCGAAAATAACCATCATGTTGCAGAGCAACTAGGACATGTCCTTCCTCTAGAAGCAAAATGCTGTGTGTTTAATACTCCTGGTTCCAATGACCATCACCAAGTACGTGAGGTTGAGAGTCAGTGGTCCCCAAGCTTAGCAAACTTCACAGAGAAAGATGGATGTGAATGTGGGTCTCCCAGGCCTTAGTCCTGGAGCTAAGACGTGATTCTGGCCCTCCAAATCCTGGTCTTTGTTTCATGCAGTTTGAAACAAACAAATCCTAGCCAAGTTTGGATGGTGAGAAGAAGCTCGAGGAATGAGCTTGTCTCTCAACATCCTACTTCTTTCTCTCCTCCAGGTGTGGTTTCAGAACCGAAGAGCAAAGTTTCGCCGGAACGAGAGAGCGATGTTGGCCAACCGGTCGGTATCGCTCCTCAAATCCTACACCCAAGACACAGCCATCGAGCAGCCCGTTGCTCCCCGGCCCACCACCCTCAGCCCCGATTATCTATCCTGGTCAACCACCTCCCCCTACAGGTTGGTTCAAGCTTCCTTCCTTCTCCCCCCTCCCTGGCGTGGCTTCTCACATTTCCCGTGGAGTCTTCTGCTCCAGGTTAGCCCTAATCGCAATGTTATGTTAGCTTTCAAGGGAAAGTGCTAACCAAACTAGAGAAGGAAAGGAAAACAGAGGCTTGCTCTGTTGGCCAAAGAACACATTTCATCTGGGGGCAGAGGAAGGAGAGGGGAGCTGAGCTAAAATTAGATTGGACTGCTTCAAAGGAAAAATAATACCTTTTCTGCCTGCAAATACCTGTTTTGCATGGAGGGCGATCCTGTGCCTCCAGAACAGGAGGGGTAATAGAAATCTGTGCCTTTTATGCCTGTGTTGAGAACACCATTTTTCAGTCCAGCCTTTCCCTGTGGATCTTTTCTAGATCCCTTGAGGGAAGGAATCTTAACTGCTTGCACCCCTGAAGTCATCCTTTGTAAGATTAATTTCCTCCATGCAAGCCTTTTCAATGTACACTTTCCCAACGTAAGCTCTTTTTTTAATGTAACAGCCACTGCTTGCATGTCACTTTTAGAAGCATACCTTTTTTTCCCCTCCAGAGCTCTTTTTCTTGAGTATGGATTTTGGATCAAGGAAAGAAAGACCTTCAGTGTCAGGGTTGTGTCCATAGCACCACAAGGTCTGCCAAGAGCAGACGATGCAAATCTGCTCTCACTGGAATTTGTGATGGATTTCTTTTGCCTCCTCCTTGGGTGGGTGCCCACCCTAAGAGGACAGACTTGATTGCCTATCCCACTGTCCACTGAAAAAGCTTTTCAGCTGGGAATCCCTTGAATGGTTAGAACATCATAAGTTTACACCCCATCATAGCATCAGTAGGAGCCAATTCTTCTAAAATTTCTCATGCCTCTTTTCTATTGCTTCCCCTTTGTTCTTGTCTCCCTCTTCCCACCCCCTTCTCCTCTTCTAGCAACACGATGCCTTCATACAGTTCCAGCACCCCCACCCCTGGTGTCAACATGGCTAACAGCATTGCCAGCTTGCGCCTCAAAGCCAAAGAGTTCAGTCTCCACCAGAACCAGGTACCCACCGTGAACTGACAGGGCCTTCCAATGCAGCCATCCTTCCTCCGTTTTCAGCAGCATCCTTGGCAATCTCTAGCAATCAAGACATTGGTGATATTCCTGGTCCATCAGGGCTCGAATCTCTTCCCCTGCCCCTAACGTCTCCTTCTCTTGAAGACCAAAGGAGAGAGTTTCAACAAACTTCAGAAGCTTCTTGAAGCTCCCTTGGGGAGGAGGCATGGCCCAGCCTCTTCAAGATCCAAAGAGATCCATGCTGGTGGACCACCATGACTTCTTCAAGGAAGAGGAAATGATCCCGAAGACATTGCTGTCCAGAAATTAAGAAATGGACCTTGGGCGCTTGCAGGTTGGGTTGAAAGCCTAAGGATCTAACTCTTCGAGAACCCAGGCTTCAAGAACCCAAATGTAATCTGACTGTGTGATGGTCTTTTCAGCCCTGGTTGTCTTGCCCTTGCCCATGCGTGGTGACTTTGGGGCCCCTGTGATTGGACAGAGAGTAGGTTTTCTTCCAAATGGGTGGTGGAAGTCTCTCCTGAACGTGTTCCCTTGTTCATCTCTGCAGTTTGCCCAAGGAAAGGGGGCGCTCCCTTGCTTTAAAACGGATACCGTGCTTGCTCAGATTCACCACGTGCCTTGAAGCTCAACGTTCACAGCCAAAGCAATGATGAACTGCGGTCTCAGAAGGACTTGTTTGAAACAGGGATGGCAGCTTATCGCCGGCGGCCATGGGTAACCAGCCAACAGCTTTATGGCATTGCTGTCATTCCTTCAGAACAGTTGGTGGCAACTTAGCCAGTTTGCAAAACACACATTGATGGATGCTCCCCCGGCCCAGAGGGCAGATCTGCAGAAAAGAAGGAGGACACTGAATTCTAGTGGTGAAGTTTGGGCAGCTGAGGAGGGGGGATGCATAAAAAATGGGGCTGGGGGTTGCAGTTAACTCATGGCCATTGCAATATCAGCTTTACCTTCTCCTAATTCTCGCTCTATTTTCTTTTCCCCAGCTTTCCTGAGCTGGGGGAAAAAAAGGCACAAATGAAGGAGGATCCTGGCCTGAATTTGGGGAACTTTCATTCTGTTCTGCCATTCTGGGAAGCACATCAGAGTTCTTCAAAATTCCAGTAAGCTGGTTCATCGCTTTCCATTTCCCAGAATCCCCCAATGAAAGGCATATGTCAGTTTCCCAGAATCCCCCAATGAAAGGCATATTTCAATTTCCCAGAATCCCCCAATCTGAAAAGTATTGCCATTGGGGACGGATTACCCAGTTTCAAAGCGGCCCCCATCTTCTGCTCTGGAAATCCCCTTCAGAATGGAACTTTCTAGGAATTGTAGCATGGGAGACACCAGTCGGACCAGTTAAAACAATTTCAGGATGTTTCCTTCGCCCACCCCAATCCCCACAAAAATAAAATCTGTGAAAACTCAATATTGCACAGTGTTTCTTCCATTCCACTCCACAGCTGACAAACATCTGAGCTTTGTTTGGGTTTTTTGGAACCTCACATGACAATTTCTACCAATGCGTTTCTGAAACCCAAGACCGGGGTGAAAAATAGAAGGATTTCAGAAACGCTCCAGAATATTGGCAGAGCACCGGGTGAAAAACAAGTTGTGTTTCTGCAGAGAAATCAGGGTGGTCCATATGACAGGTGTGGCTGCAGGAGTCAAAAAAGTCAAGATGGTGGCCACTACCGTATGATCAAGGCCCCACCCCTTTTGGTTTTGAACGTACCGTCGTGGCCACCATCTTGACTTTGTTCTTATTCCGGCTGTGGATGCTCCTACAATTGAAAATGGATTTTTTTCAACTTTTTGGATCATTCCTCCTTTGCAAACAGGCCACATCATTTATTTAGGCATGTCTGAATGCCCAAATCCGGGTTCGAATTCCGGGCGATTTCCAAGGAAACCTTGAAACTAGGAGTAAATTGCTTAATCTGGCTGCTCCCTGAAGAGAGAACCGGTTTATGGTCCCCGTTATGACAAAACCTTTTGAGAGCTGTCAGAAATGTGACTTGGAACTGGTGCTAGTCGAAGAAAGGGACGCTAGAGGGCAGTGGCGTATCACCTAACCCATCCCGAAACTTTTAGAAGAGTTTTCGCAGCCAGCATTTTGCAGAAAGAAAATGCTCCTGGGGCCTTGCAGTGCGGAAACAATGCAGCATTGCTTCTAAGGGTGCATTTATTCCAGAGATACCCCCCCCCCCCCGTGGGGATGAAGGGCAGAGGTCCATATTGTTTGGGGAGGGGCAACTACAGGTGAGAAGCTGTCCTCAAAAATAAATTAGAAGCAAAGTTACTGAGTTTAGGGCTACCCTATCTAGGCTGCAAACATCCAGACGGCCAAAAGGGGGCAGCACACAGAATCAGAACACTCCAATCTTTTGCTGCCCCCTCTTGGTGATCCGGATGTTTGCAGCCCAGATTTGTAGGCAGGTACAAGCTCCTTTATGCTGTTAGGTTTTCTATAGAGCAGGGTTCCTCAACCCTGGTGACCTGAAGATGTGTGGACTTCATCTCCCAGAATGGAGTTGAAGTCCACACATGGCTGGCTGGGGAATTCTGGGAGTTGAAGTCCACACATCCTCAAGTCACCAAAGTTGAGGAATCCTGCTGTAGAGACTTCAGGCCAACAGCTTGGTAAAAATGCCATCCACCCATTCTTGAGCAAGCAGAGAGAAGTTGCTGAGCCATATTCAACCATGCCAATAAGGCCCAGGACTGGGGCTGCTTTATTGTTTCAATGTGGGACAATCACACTCCTTTTGATGCAAAAATTGATGAATCACAAGCATGAGATGGACGGCTATATAAGTCTAAGTTACAACTGGAGGAATCTAGCCGCGTGCTCTCAGAATTGTCTGGAGCTTGAGAAGCCTACTTTTCAGAAGCTGCTCCAAATGAATCAACCTTGTGGAGAACTACAATTCCCTTTTTTGAAGGACCAGCAACCCACTGCTACTTCTTACCCCCTTCTTATGGAAAAGACTTCTGCTAGCTGAATCATTTCAATCTACCTTCTAAAGGTGATGGTGCACTGTGGGGATGAAAAGAAGTAAAAGGAAGAGGAGAAGAGGAAGAGGAGAAGGAAGAAGAGGAAGAGGAAGAGGAAGAGGAGGTGGAGGAAGAGGAGGAGGAGGAGGAGGAAGAAGAAGAAGAAGAAGAAGAAGAAGAAGAAGAAGATGTTGAAGTTGGTTGAAGTTGAAGTCGAAGTTGGTTGTTGTTGGAGGAAAAATGGTCTTCTCCTATTTTCAGCCATGTCTTAAAATATTAACCAATGGGTTATTGTGTTAGAGGAAGAGCCTGGTAGCCAAAGAATTTTTCATCCAGAAAATCTCACCATCACAACCTTAGCATCTTCAGTTGACCTGACGGCTGATATCAGGTGATTACTGATGGACTGACACTTTTACTCATTCTAAGATGGTCGAGTTCACACAACCACATATAACCCTAAACCTGGCTTTACAAAGTATAGTACTTTGCTCACCGAATGTGCAATGCCCGGCGTGGCTTAATGTAATGAGCTCATTCATCCAACATGCTGAGACAATGAATGAGTTTCCACATCGCAGGAAAGCATAAATTAAGCCCCCTCCTTCCAGCCAGATCAAGCGTGTTGTGCCAACCCAGCCAATGGGTCTACGTCAGGGTCAGCTTGAAGGTCCACCAGAGATCGCCAAGGAGATCGTCAACTCTCAACAGCTTCACAAGAGGCGATTTAAGGGCAGATAACTGAAATCCACTCTTGGCTGGTCTTCACCTCTTAAAAAAAAGCAAGAATTGACTGCCTTTGACCAGCGGACAATGTAAGTGTTCTTGCCAGTCTGGATTTTATGGCTGGCCTGGAGCCACTTGGATGACGATTCCCACGTGAATCAGCCCCACGGGGTCATCCCCATGGTTTACTTTAGCCGCCTTCTCACCAGGCTGGGCTGTTAATGGGCCTTCACACTCAGCCAAGGAGTCAACTGAACCCTTGGGGAACGGAGAACATTAGACAGGGAACGTGGATGACAGTCAGCTGAAAAACATGCATCGATTTGATTTATTTATGGGTTAGATTTACAACCCGCCTTTCCACCCGGAGCTCGAAGAAGCATACATGAGTCTCTTCTTCTGCTACAGAAAGTTTCCCACGAATCAACCCATTTCAGGGCTCCTGAATAGCCAGGATAGGGACGATGGGGACTTAGCTCCAATTCCTGAGCTGCCATTTTGCATCACAGCTGGAATGTAGTCTATCTGTCTGGGCAGAACAAGCAATGCGAACATATTCATTGACTTGGTTAACCCAAGATGAGGATTTGGCATATTAGGCGAACCCATGACCTTGTTCCCACAACACATTTAACTGATTCAGTGAAGGGATTGATGCATTGTGGGGACACCGAAGGGGCCAGTTGACCCCATCACTTATCCCTTGGGGGCTAGACGTAGCCCTCACAGACCCAGTCATGCCCAGTCTTCGCCCCATCATGTCTGGAGGCATCTAATTCCAGTCAATGGCCCATCTAGTCCTCCAGGAAAAAGAGATGGAGGGACAGAGCAGCTGAAATCGAGCCTCTCTGCTGCAGAACTCACCGCCAAGACTCGGCCGCAGAGGACACGCCTCCCAAGCAGGGATTGGCTGCCGGGCCCAAGCGGTAGCTACTCCCCGCCCCCTTCTGCAACTTCAAGCCTTCAGAAATTAGCGATGGGATTCCTGCTCCCTTTGAGTGCAAATAAAGAACCGTCTGTTATCTTCATTCCGCTTCGCAGAGAGAGGGAGAAGTCACATTAACCCAATGCCCCCAACCCCTTTCAGGGGGGAAAAACAAACTGGAAATTCATGCACTGCCCTTTGATCGCTTTGCTGTTTCACTGCCCCCCTCGCTTTTACTTTAGGGTTGCAACGAACTCTGCGCATCCTCCTTGCAACCCGGATTGTTACGGGTTTCGGAAGAAAGCCGTGCCCTTCCATTCGCAGAATCCCCCCTCAGCCTCCCGGGAATTAAAGGCCTGTTTTCTTCTGGGGGGGTGGCCTGGAAGATGGTCCTAAGACCCCGGAGAATGCTGTCAGTGCCAGAAGCCCACCGGCCTCTCCCCCCCCAGCATTTCCCTCCACCCAAGTCGACGCCTCTTCTCTGCAGCGCATACCCTGTGCCAGCAACTTTCTCCTCTCCAGCCTCCCACCCCCCTCCTTTCCTTGGGTTAAAAATAAATTAAGTTTCTGGGAAGCGGCTTCTCTCCCCCTCCCTTCCGAAGAGCCCCTGAGAATAGACTCGGCTGCTTTCAACCCCCAGCCCTTCCTCTGTCTCGGCTCCCTCCCTCTCCCCTTCCTCCCCCTCCCCCCCAGCTCATATGCTCAGGCTTGGCCAGCCAGTTCAACTGGGAAGGAATTTAACCCTTTCCCAGCCAGGCAGGAGGGCTGGTCTGGCGGCCCCGAAGCAGCGCCTCTCCCAGCAACCTCCGTCCTGCAGGCGGAGAGCGCCCTGTGCTTCAGCTGCCCGGTTCCTGCCCCTTTCCGGCCCTGGCGGCTGAACTGCAGCCTGGCGCTCTGCTGGTTATTTCCCAGGCCAGCCCTGGCATTGGGGGACGGCTTGGCCCTTCGACCCGACCCCGTTTCCCTCCCTCCGAGAGCTGGGGGGGACACGCGAAGAAGCCCGGCTTGGGCCTCCGCTGCTCTTCCCGGGAGGGGGGTTGGAAGGGCTGTGACGGGGGCAGCGGTCTCCTCCGGCCCAGGTTGGGGGAGCCGGACCACGCCTAAGGCCCAGCTCAGCATTTGCAACAACTGGGGCGGATCGATGTTTTTCATTAAAGGCAACCCCCCCAAAAAAACCCAGAGCTCTTTGCTTGCGCATCAGCCCCATCTCCGTGACCGGGCCCACTGCCTTCCACGGAGCCACAACAACAATGGGGAGAAAAGTCGTATGGAGACAGTAAATGGGGAAGAACAGGAGGCTCTCCAAAGAAGATGTCTTCCCAGATGTCTTTTAAGCCCCGGAGGCCTCGTCTGCTGCCACAAGCCTGTCGGTAGGTCGGGCTGAGAAATGGCTCCGTGATTCCCCGTGGTCTCGAATGGGACAGTAAGGCCAGGGCCCTTTAAGAGGCCACTCGTCCCTCCGAGGGGGTGGAGCTCACACCCCACGGGCCCTGTCTGCCTGTGGGGGGGCTTCACTTGGTTGAGGGGCCTTGCTGAGACAACATCCTCCCACGGCTGCTCCAGCCAAGGGAGCCCCACGGCCAGGGCTTGCTGGAGCTCTCCAAGGTCCTGATCCAGCCCATCCTCTGCATCAAGGGGTCCGGCCCTGACTTTGCCCCCCTGGCTGGACTGTTGGGGTCAGCGGGGCTTCCTCCCATGACTTGGCCTTCCCTGCCTTGCCTGGATTTCACCTGCCCTGGTCTGTCCCTCCGTGTTCCCTGCTTCCTTCTGAGCCTCCATTAAGCATCCAACCGGAGGCGATAATGCACAGGCCATTTAAGACGGCGGGGACCACATTTCAACTTAGATTCTTTAAAAGGAAAAAAAGAGTTATGGTGGTATAATTTCCAGGAGTTTGTAAATGGGAAGCAGGGAACTTTTTGAGGTGGGGGGAAACTGAGCCCCTTCACCCACCATGGGAGCACCTCCTGTTCCTCGCAGTCCTGCCACTGCTGTGCTACCCACCAATCACTGCTCAAACTTCCAGTTCCCAACCAGAAAGCGTGCCCCAAAGAACGTGGCTTTGCAAAAAACATGAGAACAATAAATTATGTGGCCCAACAGCCAAGCAAATTTTGCCCCAGAGCCCACCCTGGTAAAAACAGTGCCATCTATTATATAGAACAGCCTTCCCCAATTTGGAGGCCCTCCAGAGACGCAGATTTCAACTCCCAGAATTCTTAATGTCCAAATGGTGCCAGGGAATTCTGGGAGTTGAAATCTGTGCATCTGAAGGACCTCCTGCAACTCCCAGACTTCTCAGCAGGGTCTGTGCTGCTGGAGAATTCTGGGAACTGGAGGATCCCAATCTGAAGGGCTTCCAGATATTTATTTATTTATCAGATTTATGTGCCGTCCATCTCCCCTAGAGGATAACTGGATGGGGAAGGTGTCAGAAGGCTGAGAAGAATTTAGACTAAAACATGAATTTTGCACATTTTTAAAGAAACCGCCCACCAGCTACAAAGCTGTTAAAAGACTCTTCCCCAAGTTAGAGATGGGACATGCCTGGGATACAAATTTCTTTTAATGTTTTTTGTTTCTTCGATGACAGACGGTGTGAAGATTAAGAGTCACATTCATAACTCAGCATACGTTGGGCTCTGAACAAAGTCATAGCTGGAATGGGGACCCCAAATGTTTCCCCTGAGGTGAGGTGGCCATCAAGACGAAAAAATATTTCATACCTCAATTTACGCAGAAGAAATCCTCCTTTCATACACACCCACTCAAGTTCTAATGTTCTGGGCATGCCCACATCTTAAATCACTCCAAATCAAGCTCAGACCTTACAGAATTATAATCCACAGCTTATCCACAGCTTACAACTAGAGACAAGGAGATGAGAAGTCCACCAAATGTAGTCCCTTTCCACCCAAGAGAGAGAAGGCAAAACTAGCTAACGATAACCCAGCATTAAGATGAAATATTTATTCCCTCTGCTTGGACTTCTGCCATCCTTCACATTCTCTCAGTTTTCCATCACCCAAGAGCCGCTGGGGACGAAGGTCACCGACTTTCACTAATGTTTGATAACTGAGATGATGATCTGTAGGGCCATGGAGAAGCACGGAATCTGAGCCACGCTGTAGGCCACCGATCGGATGGGTGCTCTCAGCTGGAGAAGATAAGCCACGGTGTGGATCATCCGGCCAAGGAAGAAAATCAGGAAGTGGATCCAAGCCACAACTGGATTGGGGTGCAGGAAGCTATAGACAGACCCGATGAACAAAAACGGGTAGATGTTTTCCATGTCGTTTCGATGAGCTCTGGAGACACAGAAGGACACAGAAGAGGAACATGATCAGAACTGGGTAGACCACACCTGGGCTGCTGTGTACCCTTAGGGGACACCCCGTTTCCAGAAGAAGACTGACAGGTTAGAACAGATTCAGAGGAGGGTGACAAAGATGATATAGAGACCTGAGGACACATTTTATGAGGACGAGTTGAAGGACCTTATTCTTCACTGGAGGAAAGAAGACTGAGAAGAGACATGTTGGCTACGTTCAGGTACATAGAAGGGTGGTAGAGGGAAGATGGTCAGGAACTCGTTTTCATGGCCACAGCAATCAGGACCAGGAATAATGGGTGTAAATTGCAGCCACCTAGATTTTGTTTAAACACAAGGTTAAAAAAAAACTTCCTGATGGTAAGGTAGTAGATTCTCCATCTCTGGAGGTTCTTAAGAAAAGGCTGGATGGCCACCTCCCGGGAATGGCTGCATTGGTTGAGGGTTGGACTAGGCGATCCTTGTAGTTCCTTCCAATTATATTATATTATTCTATGATTTAGCAAAGGGAAAAGTACATTAAAGGACCTAGCAACAGCACTTGAGGTCATCTGGGACCTTTGATTGAATGAGGTGATTTGGGGAAAGTCAGTTTTCGATAGCCAGGTTCTGGGATAAGAGCTAGGAAGCACACAACTGTGGTAGCCAACATTTTCCTCCTGTTTTTAAAAAGCACGTCTGCCAACATGGACCAGGACTGATTTTGGAGCTGAGCATCCTGAGCAAACTTCATCGTAAAAGGGAGCTTGTGAAAGGCATGCAAACCATGTTAAACCCGGGTTAAGAAAAGACAGTTGGTCATAAGGCGTGATGCTCAAATGCAGCGTCTTATGGTTTGTGCAGAGACTTGGTTTGTACGACATTCGAAGACAAGCGCTGTGTCCTTATAACCTGAATCCAGGTTAACCGATCATCATGGCTGCATTCATTCAGCATGGAATATCCAAAACAGTGTTTCTCAACTTTGTCAACTTTAAGGTGGATGGACTTCAACTCCCAGAATTCTTAGCAATGGCCGTGTTGACTGGGGAATTCTGGGAGTTGAAGTCCACACATCTTAAAGTTGACAAGGTTGAAACACTGATCCAAGCAAATAAACTATATTTTGCCCAGCGTGAGCCATTAATTTAGAACTGGGTGTATTACTTGATCTATTTGAGAAAGTGTTTTATATGCAGAAGATCAGACCAGCTCCAATGTGTAGACTTTGATCCCAAAGTTCCCCAGGGGTGGACTTTAATTCCCAGACATCCCCAATTTGTGAACTCATTGCTGAGAATTCTGGGAGTTGAAATTCGCACATCTGCAGGGTAGCCAGATCAGGAAAGGCTGGTAGAAGCCCATATTTTCATCTTGCGGGAGAAGATTTTTCTCATCTCCAATTCCTACTCGTCAAACAAATCGGTTGTGCTTTTTTCTACAGCCCCAACTAAAGCGACTCAAACGATTGGTTCGCTCCACATTTTTCACCCAACCCATTAAAACTGGATTTCACTGTTGGAGCAGACTGAACCCATGTTTAGCTTTCCAATTTTGCAGATGTCTGCATTTTTGCAACGCTGCGCATTTGGGAGAGGAAGTGCATGGTTGAAATGTGACTTTCTTTTCTTTTTTTAATTGTAGAAAACAGGACAGGAGAAAATGAGGAGTGAACCTACGTAGAGCCAATACCAGCTAGAAATTAAAAGCTGAGTTTGATCTTTCCAGTCCCGACTTACCCCTGGTTTCTCACATTTCTTCCCTAACTCTAGAGATTAAAAACTTAATTTTAGATTTTCTTCCAGTTCTCCAATCTGTTCTCCTCCAATCCCCTCTTTGGTCTCCTTCTCTGTCCAGGCTTCACACAAAATAACCTCACGGTTTCCCAGAACCGCGCACATACCATTAATCCTCAACTCTGCATTCTTTCCCCCTTTATTTCAAAGGCAGAAACGGTTCAAAGCTTTGAAAAAGAAAAGGAAATTCTTTGAAATCTTAGCTAAGTAAATAATTCCAGGGGTGTGCCCAACTAGGATTTGCTAGAAATAGTTCTATTCTTGACTAAGGAAGCCAGCCTGATTAAGAGAGATGCATGCTTATACAAGTTCCACTGAAAATTACCGAAAACGTACAAGAATTGTCAATTTTGCCAATTTTCAAGAATTGGGGGCACGTTTAGGAACCCAAGATTAAGCGCCTACGGTGTTGCCGGTGCTTTGAGATTCAGATTTGGGAGAGAAGTTCTAATTTGGAAGGAAATTAAAGCTGTTCTCCTTTTCAACCAGGGAAGTCTAGAAACTCTGTCTAAAATGTGAGCTTTGCAAAAGCAACGAACGAGTTCTGCATGCCGAACATTCCAGCACGCTGCGCATTTATTTAGCGAGCGAATTCTATTCGCAGGCTGACTTGGAAAGTCCAGGGCTGGCATTTAATCGGACCATTTTAAAAGAAGAAATCTTGCCAAGTAATTGGAATGGAATAATGTCAAACTGGCTCTCCTGGTTACAATCACAGGGTTTTGCCAGGCTTCTCAGAGCAAAAACAGTCCCCCCAAAACATATTTCTCAGCAAGTCACGGTTGGCTTCATCTTGCAAAACCTGATGCATCTTTTAAAAACTTTTTAAACAAGCATTGATTTCTTCTTCTTCTTCTGGAGCAAACACAAAACCGCATCTAACCCCCAACTCAGCTGCCATCTGAAACGGGGGCTTGCTCCACATTGGCAAATTTCAGCCTGCCGTCCCTACATCTAACTGGGTTCATGCATCCTGCTAATACATGATTTGGGTAATCATGATTTACGGAAGACACCCAGTGGGCAGCCTGGATCCGTAAGCTGTGTTTTACAAGCCACAATGATTCGGGTTCACAGGACACATTAAACCAGAATTAAATAGCATGGCTTAGCCTTGACATCTGAGCCAAGTGGTGTCTTCTCTTCCCTCCTCTTTTTTAATTATGTATTTAGGTGCTGTTAACAAGGTAAGTATCAGAGGAATTCTACTCTGGATTTTTACAGAAGGTTTATTTAAGGCCTCATTTGATACCTTGACAAGCTTTAGCTGCCATATTCCCTCTACAAGTTGCTGCAGTTTTGAAATCTATCTAATGGCCAACGGGATTCAGTGGGACGGATTGGGCAACTCTTAAATGAGCAAGGAGTAACCAGAGGGACTGCACTGAATTGAAATGCTGTTTAAATTAAGTCCAATTTAACATTTCCCAGGCCTCACCCCCTTTCTAACCCTTCCTACTTTGGAATTATCCCCCCTCCCCCAGAACTTTAATGAAAGACCCAAAGGATCTTCACATACCCCTCGTCTACAGCGCCAGCCGTGCAAATCCTTTGGAGACGTCAGCCTGGCTTGGGCCTTCCAAGGTTTACATAAGCCGCCTTGTTACCAGGAAGTCATGCTCCAAGGCTCACGGGCCAGAGATAATTGTATTTAAGGCAGAAGCTCACGTCTGTCATCGCAAGATGGAAGGGCGCAAAGCCGGCCAAAGGAACTTGCAAGGAATCCACTCAAGTTGAGCATTTGCATTTGGAAATCCCTCTGAGATTTGTTTTGTTTACCGACGCAGACCAGGAACTGCAAACTTAAGGTCAGAAGTAAGTTCTCCACTCCAGCTTGCATTGAATGCAACCCACAGCTGGATTCCATCGCCACGTCCCCCATTAGCGAAAGAGGCGAAAATGGTGCGCTTGAGGCATTTCCCATCTGTCCCATTTATGTACGCACACACCTTGGCCATCTCCCAGAGTTATTAATGGGAGATTGTATAAACAAGGCGAGACTATGAACCATGACACCTCATTTCAGCCTCTTCCTGCCCATGCTTCAGCCAGCGGCGATAAACACAACTCAGTCTGAACTATTTTCTTGGTGTTGTTGAAGATTAACCTTCTGATGACCCAACTAAGGGATTTCTTGCTTAGGTATTATACTTTAAAGAAACTCTGCCCTCTTTGGCTAGGAAATTCAGACTGTAAATCATTCTTTGGCCCTAAGGCAGGGAGGAAACTACTGGGGAAGAAGGAATGAGTTATGACAAGTTCTTTTTGGGTTACAAGGAGGTTGTAACAAAGGGAAATGGTAACACGTTAAAAATATATAAGGAGGACAACCCAATTGCTTATCCAAGGCCCTTGTACTTCTGTCATTCCATTTGTCCAAGAGCCTTCTTCAGCACTTCTTAACCTTGGCAACTTTGAGATGGGTGAACTTCAACTCCCAGAATTCTTAGCAATGGCCGTGTTGGCTGGGGAGTTCTGGGAGTTCAAATCCACACGTCTTAAAGTTGCCCAAGTTGGGAAACACAGGTCTACTTTTTAAAAATATGGAGTGGGACTAGAAGCTGGAAGCCTTTGGTACCTCCTGAGGGCCACAATGAAGCAAGCAAGGACTCCCCCATCAGATTCTGGTAATGAGGCCATTCTTCCTCCTCGAAGTTCCTGATTGTTCCCTTGATTTCTCTAAGAGTTGAGAAGAATCATGTAATGAAGTAGCATACTTCACACTTTCTTCTCCCTCACCACTGGCAGTTATCCAGATTGGATCTAGAGAGACAAGAATTCTCACCCATACCCCCTAAAATCTAAATTTCAACACTGTTCTTCATGAATTGTTCTTCAAATGAAGACTTATTTGGCATAGGACATATGTTCTATTCTATAGAAGATGGTCCTCCATTTGAAGGTATCCCCTATTTGTGTGGTCTGAGTTACTGGAAAATGTCATACCTACACATTTTTCAGTTGAAAGAACAACTTTTGAGAACTTCCTTAGCGTTTGTAGGGGGTGAGAGATGTTTATCCACTGTAAATTATTTCAGGACTTACCAATCCCATCGCTGGCATATTCTGGTATGGAAAGTGGCAGCAATAAAAAAGGACAAAGCTAACTTGGATGGCTTGCAAAGAAGTTTGGCTAAATTCATGGAGGACAGATATACAGTACTGAGGAATATCAGTCTTGAAGACTCCATGTTACCTCCACTAGAAAGCGACTGCCTCTCAATGCCAGTAGCAGGGAACTAACATTGGGAGGAGTAGGTCTCCTTTTTGTACTGGTGAACAACCCCAGTCATCTGGTTGGCCCTTGTGAGAAACAAATTGCTGGACCATGGTGGGTCTTAGCCTCATCCAGTAGGACTAGCTTGCTAATTCTAGGGATTTAGGGATTGGCTAAATTTATGGAAGACAGGTCTATCACGAGCTGTTTGCCTTGAAGGCTCCATGATACCTCCAGATTGACACCAACATGCCTCCAAAAACAGCTTGCAGAGTATCAGTAGCAAGAGGGAAGAAGCTCTCCATCTCCTGCTTGCAAGCTTCTCAGAAGCATCTGGTTGGCCACTGAGAGAAACAAAATGCAGCACTAGGATATTGAGACCATTTTATGTCTTTTAAATGTGGATTTGCCTACAGGTAAGAGTTGAGATGTGCTATGTTGAGTTTTATATATATTAATTAATGTTACTATTTTAGGGCTCTGTTTGGACTTTTTGCTGGATTGGAGAAGACGTTACTTATTGGATTTGCCTATAATTAAGAGATGAGTTATGGGATGAAGAGTTTTACATTTGTTGATTAAGAGGAGGTGAATTGATAGTGAAATTGTTTCTACTTGTGATGAGGGTGGGAAGTTGTTTTGAGGGGGCTTTTTTCATTTTTTTCTTTGATTTTTTGCATCTGGTTTTCTTATTTTTTAGTCTCTATTATCTTTTATTATTGTAATCAAAACTTCTAATAAAATTATTCTTAAGAAAAAGAGAGGGAAACAAAATGCTGGACTGAGATAGGCTGGATCCAGGCAGGATCTTCTTATGCTGAGGGTTGGGCAGCATTTATTTTTATTATTATGGTTGGTCGCCCAGTCATCCAGATGTTTAGATTGGAGATTTGGCATTTTTATCCACCACTCGAGTCCTTCCCAAGGACCTGGGATAGGCAGATGTTGTTTGATGGTGTTAAATTATTATTATTATTATTATTATTATTATTATTATTATTATTATTATTATT